CATGTTTATGCTTGCAATATGATTTGATTACTTCTAATTACGTTTCATAAGTTGTGAATTCAATTTACTTATCTATGTGATTGACAACTTATTTATGTATGTTTATTGAGAGTGCACGCTTAATTTTCATGCATGAATATGACGCTAGAATATAAGTGAGTTTCACCTAATAGTTATGAACTTATATTCACAAGTAGTGGAGGTTGCTTATAAACAATCGCGTTAAGTAAATTCTTGGCATAAGTTTCGTGCAATCATAGTAACGAATGCCTCGTCAACACTTATGGTTTTCAAAGAACTTAATGATTCTTGCTTGTATCTCTACTATGCAATTCATGTAGGGAACTTGTGGGGAATGCTTTGGGTTGTCGTATGCAATCATCCAATTCATTAACTTAAGGAAAACTTGACGGTTAATTTAAACGGACCTAATTAACCCGGGGTGTTGAGAATTCATGGTTTATTGAAAAGCAATTAGAAATCATTTTGTATGCAAGTATAACATGTGTGGAGATGAACCCCTTAGCTAGCTTCCCATCCATTCATTTTCGTCAAATTCGTATTTACAATTTGTTTTCTTTACAATCTATCCATTTTAGTTTAAATTCGTCCAAACTCAATTCCCCCCTTATACTTTGTTTAGTCTTAGTCTTAATCTATCTTATTTTGAGTTTTGCATTCTTTGAGTCTAGTATAGTGTTTTAAACTTGTTTTTACGTTTTTGAGTCAAATCCAAGTGATTAACAATCCCTCCTAATCCCCGGTCCAGAACGATCCCTACTTACATACTTACTACAATCGACAAAAAGAGGGTTTAATTTGTGTGCGTATAATTCTCGCATCAAATTTTGGCGCCGTTGCCGGGGATTAGCAACTTTGCTAATCTCTTGGATTGTTTTATTTTCTTTTGTTTTTTTTATTTTATTCCAGATTCTTAATCTTGTTTTGTTTCTTGTTTTAGGTACTAGTTTATGACTCGGAGTTCTCATCCGATTCGTGAACCTATCTCGGTCTTTGACGCCGATTTCAAGCGAGAATTGAGACGAAAGAGAAAGAACCCAGAACCTAGCGAATCAAGTGAAAGCTCCGAGTCCGTTTCTGAATCTGAAGAAGAGAAACCCAAGACAACAGAGGGTGAAGTAGACATGGCAGCGGACAACCGAACAATCAAAGAGCTTTCCGCTTCGGGATTGGCCAATGCCGCACCATTATGCATTCAATACCCTGCGGCTGCCCAAGGCAAGACCGATGAATTCGAGTTGAAGTCAAGCTTGTTGCACCATATTCCGAAATACCATGGGCTTTCCATGGAAGATCCCAACAAGCATCTCAAGGAGTTCGAGGTTGTTTGTTCGAGCATGACACCCGTAAATGTCGACGGGAACATTCTGATGATGAAGGCTTTTCCATTCTCACTTTTGGAAAAGTCGAAGGATTGGCTTTACGAGTTAGCACCCGGAACGGTTACATCTTGGGATAGTATGAAAAGAGCTTTCTTGGAGAAGTTTTTCCCAACTTCAAGAATCATTCTCTTGAGGAAACGGATTAGTGGCATCCAACAAAATGAAGGTGAGTCTTTTCCTACGTATTATGAACGTTTTAAATCTCTTGTTGCTTCTTGTCCACAACATCAGATGAAGGAGGAGTTGCTTCTGCAATACTTCTATGAGGGGCTCTTACCAATGGAACGTCAAATGCTTGACGCCTCGGCGGGTGGAGCATTGGTGGACAAGACACCCATGGCTGCAAAGGTCTTGATTGCTAATCGAGCATTGAACGCTCAACAATACGAAGGCGTTGGACAGAGGAGTACCCCACGGCAACACCAAGTCAATGAGGTAAGTGCCATATCCGAACTTCAAAATCAAATGGCTAACCTTATTACGTTGCTTTCTCAGGTGGTGGAAGGTCCAAAAGTCAAAACCGTAGCTTCTTGTGGCGTATGCTCCATGCAAGGACACCCTACGGACACGTGCCCACAATTGATCGAGAATGGAGGGTGGGAGACACTCAATGCCGTGGGATATGGCAACCAATACCAATCATGTGGGGATCCGTTTTCTAATACTTACAATCCCGGTTGGCGTGATCATCCGAATTTCAAATGGCGAAACCCCCAACAAGGTCAACAACCCCAAGGAGGATTTAGGCAGCAACCACCGGGCTTTTATACAAAGCCATTCGTCCCTAATCAAAACCAAGTGCAATCCGCCCCAACAACCTCAGGTATGTCTTTGGACAATGATCAAGTTGTTAAGTTACTTACTACTTTGACGCAGGAAGTACAAACTCAAAATAAGGAGAGACAAATCCAAGACAAACGGGTGGACAATTTGGAGAAGCAAATGGGTCAAATTGCCGAATTTATGGGGCAAATTAGAGAACAAGGCAGATTGCCCAGTTCAACCGATATGAACCCAAAGGGAGGATTTGAAACCGCTAAGGCCATCATGTTGAGAAGTGGTAAACAGGTTGGAACGGACTCAAATACATCCAAATCAAGTCAAGACGAGGAGGACAAGTTGCTGAAAGAAGAAGCACAGGGAGCAAAGCCCACGGCCAAGGATGACCAAACCTTGCCGTATTCATCTAGTCCTCCTAAACCGTCCCAAACCACCAAGGTAAGTCCCAATTCAACTTTTTTGAGTTCTATTCCACTAAATGTGCCCTTTCCTGGTAGGTTTAGGCAATCAAAGAAGGAAGAAGCCGAGAAGGACATTCTAGAGACCTTTCGGAAAGTTCAAGTCAATATCCCGCTCCTTGATGCGATTAAGCAAGTCCCGATGTATGTTAAGTTTTTAAAAGAACTTTGTACAACAAGGAGAAGGATTTCGAACAAAGAGGTGGTTCAAGTAAGTGAAAATGTCTCTGCTATGTTACAAAGGAAATTACCCCCTAAATGCAAAGATCCGGGTAGTTTTACAATTCCGTGCGTTATTGGTAATACTAAGTTTGAACAATGCATGTTAGACTTAGGGGCTTCGATTAATGTTATGCCATACTCTATTTATGCATCTATGAACTTAGGTGAGCTTAAAAATGATGGTGTGATTATTCAATTAGCCGATCGTTCTAATGCATATCCAAAGGGTGTTTTGGAAGATGTTTTGGTGCAGGTTGGTAACTTGATTTTTCCAGCGGATTTCTACGTGCTTGACATGGAGGATTCACCCCATTCCACCCCATTTCCGATTCTATTAGGGAGGCCCTTCATGAAAACAGCCCGCACCAAGATAGATGTGTTTAAAGGAACTTTAACGATGGAATTTGATGGGGAAGTCATTGACTTCAATCTTTCTGAAAGTATTAAATTTCCTAAGGACGATCATTCTTGCTTTTCTATTGATATAATTGATGATTTGGCGCAGGATTTTCTCGATTCTTTGGAGAGGGATACACTTGAAACAACAATTGCACAAGGAATTGGGCAAAAATTTGGTTTTGCTGTGCCTAGAAGTGTGGAAGAGGCCGAGATAGTGGCTGCCCTTGAGTCACTACCTCAACACCATGGTAAGCCTTCTAACCCAATTTCAATTTCAGTTTCCACTAATAAGTTGTTACCCTCAGTGATTCAGGCACCCGTACTTGAGCTTAAACCAGTGCCCGATCATTTAAAGTACGTCTCTCTGGGAGACAACGAGACATTGCCCGTCATTGTCTCCTCATCACTCACGGCCAAAGAGGAGGAGAAGTTGATCCGAGTGTTGAAAGAGCACAAGACGGCCATTGGGTGGACTTTGGCCGATATTAGGGGAATTAGCCCGACTACGTGCATGCATCGCATACTTCTAGAGGAGGGGGCTAAACCAACTCGAGAGGCTCAGCGCCGTCTCAACCCTCCAATGATGGAAGTTGTGAAAAAGGAGATTATCAAACTTCTTGATTGTGGAGTGATTTATCCGATCTCTGATAGCCGTTGGGTATCACCGGTGCAATGTGTTCCAAAGAAGTCCGGAGTGACAGTGGTGAAGAATGCCGAGAATGAGCTTGTGCCAACCCGTATCCAAACAGGTTGGCGTGTCTGTATTGATTACAGGAACCTAAATACCGCAACAAGGAAAGATCACTTCCCTTTGCCATTCATTGATCAAATGCTTGAAAGGTTGGCCGGTCATTCTTTTTATTGCTTTCTTGATGGTTATTCGGGATATAATCAAATTGTCATAGCGCCGGATGATCAAGAAAAGACCACTTTTACTTGTCCATTTGGTACTTTTGCATATCGTCGTATGCCATTTGGTTTATGCAATGCACCAGCCACTTTTCAACGATGCATGGTAAGTATATTCTCAGATTATGTTGAAAAGATAATTGAAGTATTTATGGATGATTTTAGTGTTTTTGGGGACTCATTTGATGATTGCTTGCATAATCTTACTTTAATCTTGAAAAGATGCGTGGAAACTAACCTTGTTTTAAATTGGGAAAAATGTCATTTTATGGTTAAACAAGGCATAGTTTTGGGTCATATCATCTCTGAAAAAGGAATTGAAGTTGATAAGTCTAAAATAGATCTTGTACGTTACTTACCCTCTCCTACTTCTGTTAGAGAGGTTCGTTCTTTCCTTGGCCATGCAGGATTCTATAGGCGATTCATCAAGGATTTCTCCAAGATTGCACAACCCTTATGCCGTCTCCTGCAAAAAGAAGTGACGTTTGAGTTCAACGAGGAGTGTGAGAAGGCATTCAAGCTTCTCAAAGACAAGCTTACCACGGCACCTATCATCCTTCCACTTGATTGGACGTTGCCCTTCGAGCTCATGTGTGATGCATTCGATTATGCAATAGGGGCTGTTTTGGGTCAAAGGAAGAATAAGCAATCCCACGCCATCTACTATGCTTCTAGGACCTTGAATGATGCTCAACTAAACTATTCTACCACGGAAAAAGAACTTCTTGCCGTTGTGTTTGCTTTAGATAAGTTTCGTTCATATTTACTTGGCACTAAAGTGATTGTATTTTCTGACCATGCAGCTCTTAGGTACTTATTCACTAAAAAGGAGGCTAAACCGCGGCTCATTCGTTGGATGCTCTTACTTCAAGAATTCGACATTGAAATTAGGGACAAGAAGGGATATGAAAACGTGGTGGCTGACCACCTAAGTCGAATGGTGCGTGAAGAAGAGGACCTTCCCATTTTAGAAACGTTTCCGGATGAACAACTTCTATCCGTTGAGGTAAGTAACCCTTGGTATGCTGATTTAGTTAATTTTTTGGTGTCTAAGCAAGTTCCTAACACCTTAAGCAAAGCTCAACGTGATAAATTAAAAAAGGAGGCACGTTTTTATGTTTGGGATGACCCTTATTTGTGGAAAATATGCCCGGATCAGATTGTGCGTCGTTGTGTTCATGAATCTGAATTTAATTCCATTTTGAGTTTTTTCCATACATATGCATGTGGTGGACACTTTGGCACATAACGCACAGCGTTTAAGGTTCTTGAAAGTGGTTTTTATTGGCCTACATTGTTTAGAGATGCTAGGGCTTTTTGCTTAACATGTGATAGATGTCAAAAGACCGGAAGTATAGGCCAAAGAGACCAAATGCCGCAAACCCCAATCCTTGTTGTTGAAATCTTTGATGTTTGGGGTATTGATTTTATGGGTCCGTTCCCTATGTCTTTTGGTTTTACGTACATTTTACTTGCCGTTGATTATGTGTCAAAGTGGGTGGAAGCTAAAGCCACCCGAACTAACGATTCTAGAGTTGTTGTAGACTTTGTAAAATCTAACATTTTCTCTAGATTTGGGATGCCTCGAGTGCTCATAAGCGATGGTGGGACTCATTTTTGCAACCGCACCATTATAGTGTTGCTCAAGAAGTATAACGTGATGCATAAGGTTTCCACACCTTATCACCCCCAAACCAGTGGCCAAGCTGAAGTTTCAAATCGAGAGATCAAGCAAATCCTGGAAAAGACCGTTGGGCCGAATAGAAAAGATTGGAGCTTGCGCTTGGAGGATGCACTGTGGGCCTATCGAACGGCTTACAAAACGCCCATTGGTATGTCCCCATTTCGGCTAGTCTATGGCAAGCCGTGCCATCTACCCGTAGAGCTTGAGCACAAGGCACATTGGGCGGTCAAGACCTTCAATATGGATGTGGACGCGGCTGGAAACCATAGGAAGCTACAATTGAGCGAGCTTGAAGAGATTAGGCATGAAGCGTATGAGAATACCCGGATTTACAAGGAGAAGACCAAGGCCATCCATGACAAGATGATTAGAGGCAAAACCTTCTCAATCGGGCAGAAAGTGTTGTTATTCAATTCTCGTCTTCGATTATTCCCCGGTAAGTTACGTTCTAAGTGGGTTGGTCCTTTTATTGTCACTAATGTTTTCCCTCATGGTGCAGTGCAAATCAAAAGTTCAAGGACGCAACAAGAATTCAAAGTGAATGGGCATCGATTGAAGCCCTATTACAAGACGTTTGAGGAGCATGTCGTGAAGGAGGTACCCCTCCAGGCCGTGGAACCTAGTCAAGCTTAAACGGAGGTACCGTCTGGCTGCAAGACGTAAAAGAAAGCGCTACTTGGGAGGCAACCCAATACAGTGAATAAAACAAAGCTTGTTCATTGATTTCCGAGAGATTACAAGCGAAAAAAAAAAAAAAAAAAAAAAATTTTGTATCTAACAAAGAAAGAGAAAGATGGAGCCTTCACAAAGGTTGTGTACGTGAAGCCCCACTACGTGGCAACACTCTAGGAGCGGGAGGCATCGGAGCAAGAGGCATAGGAGCGGGAGGCACCGAAGATAGATCATTCAAGGCCCCAATCCTTGGTGGAACGCTAGATGACGCAGGAAAAAGATGCCTCTGGAAGAAAGACGCAAGCCTTTGACGGTCACTTTGAATTCGACCTTGAGATTCTTGCATCTCATCAAGCTTCCTCTTCATGCCTGTCGAGTAATTATTTGCAAGCACGTGCAAACTTCTATTCTCGTGCTTAAGCTGTTTGATCTCTTGCTTGAGATTTTCCACCTCTGCCATCAATGATTCAACCTGACGGGAGCGAGCAAGTAGGCGTTGGCCCATGTTGGACAAAGAGCCCGCGCACTGAACACTGAGAGCTAGGGACTCTTGAACGGCCAACTCATCGGACCGTCCTGAAAGCAGCTGACTATCTTTAGGAGTGAGGAGGTTCCGAGCTACTATCGTAGCTGTTGTTGCATCCGTCATCACGGAGTCTTCACCTGTCAGAGGGCCATTAGAAGATAAGAAAGATGGGCACCATACCTTACCCTGACGCGGCGTGACCGGATCACTGCTGAGACTCAAATCTAAGCAAATGTTCGATGGGTTAGATGAGCTAGCCATTGTTCAAGAAGTTAAAAGAGAAGGGTTGGATGGAGTAAAATCTCAACGGGCCGGAGATGATTTTTGGGCAATCTTCAAAGTGTGCATGCTAGAGGTGATCGATCACCTCTATTAAAGGAGAAGCGACACAATCACCGATTCAGAAATGAAGAGACACCACTCTTCAAAGCCGGATTTTCCTGCGTAAAGTTCGCCAGCTCTTCAGACGCAATCCCGGCTTTTCAGATAAAGCGTTCAACTTTGTCAAAAGATTTCTGACAAAGTTGAAGACGCGTGGAGGCCGAGAAAGCAGCTACACACTTTTGCCGACAAGCGTGGGTGACAAAGCCGAAATCCCGGCTTTTCAGAAAACGTGTGCAACTTTGTCAAAAGCTCCCGGCTTTTCAGAAGACGCGTGGAGGTCATAGTGGCATCCGCATTGCCACTTGCCATTACAATTCCTATATACATCAACATTCATGGCAAGGCATACACCCAAAAACGCATGACTCTTTTTCTCGGCCGAGAATGTAGCTGCAACCAAACCTCTCAAACATGCTCAGTTTTCTTCTTCTCTTGAGAGCACATATTCAACCATTGATGTATCCCCCAAAAAAGATATCAGATGCCTGAAGTACAGATGAGGTAAGAGGAAACGGTGGATCGAAGCATGTGGAGACAAGCGCAACAAATATATGTGCTGATTCAGTCGCTGCTTCTGCAAAAGCAAAGGTATCTCATATCATGATCTTTCCCTGTCTTTTCCTTTGTCCTTGTTATTACTCGCATGGCAAAAGTAAAGTGAGCAATCAGCCGGCACTTGGAGTCAGTCTTCTGATCTGGAACCAACTACCTGGAATCTATTCCCTAGTTGCTTACCTAGCGTTGCTCTCGAGTAGTCATCTTCAAAGGTTGATACACTTCCAGAGAAGGGACCACATCGGCTTGGAGAATAGCTAAGACGAGTGACGAGGAAACATCAATCTTGTGGATAGTCAGCAAACGCAACAACTGCATATGCTGAGTTATCCTCTAACCCTCTTCAATACGAATTGGAAAGATTGAACAAAGAAACCGCTCATCACCTCCACCTCGTGCTTGCCTGCCATGTGTCAGAATCCTCCAGCCCTGTTCAAGATTAGCCTGTGGACAAACTCAAGATCAAGCCTCAATGCAATTACCAAGGAGAAGATGGAATTTACACTCCATAACCAGATTTGCATCCCTAAAACTCTTTTCTTTGTTAGATACGTTCTGCCATGTTTAGTATGTTTAAGTACTGTTTGTGTGTTTACTTATGTTTTGTGTGAATCTATGCTTAAAACATTGAGGACAATGTTTGATTGAAGTGTGGGGGGGTAACTAAGTATGTTGATGCAAATTCGTTGGATTTTATCACCCATAACTTCAAGTGTTGTTCCTTGCTGTTTTAAAATGTTTTTAAGCTGATTTAGAGTGTTTTAGTGTGTTTTGTTTTATAACTCCAAAAATCACATAAAAATTTGAAAAACATGTTTTGAAAAGCCTAAAAAGAGTGTTTTGAGTCGTTTTTGTGTGTTTGTGTCGTAGGTCACCTTCCAACACAATGATCAGGATTTGGTTTGTAATTGCATGACTGTTAAAAAGAGTTATAAGCATGGAGAAAAGTTTGATTTACTCTTGGTATATGCTTGGTTATGGTTATAATGTATGACTTCACATGCAATCATAAAAGAAAAATTAGTTTTTGTAACATGCTTGAAGGAAGGAACTCAAACAAACGCTACAACCTTGTGAGACTTGAGCCTAAACGTTATTTGGAGAGTTAAAATATGTGCATTATTATTTCTAAAGTCGTTGCATGATCTCATTATTCTTTGCTTGGTTACTACTTAGAAGGCGTTTCATCATATAGTTCCAAATGCTAGAACTCATGCCCATTTCATTCAAAGCATGTTATTGATTTGCATAACACATATTCAAGAAGAAGTTGTGTAGTGACCACCACCAAAGCCAAATTGCCGTGTATCCTACTTCATTATTTGTTTAAGTTAACCCCGTTGAGCCTTGTTAAGCCTTTATTCCTTGTTAACCCACATTATCCTCACCTAGCCTAGTTTAGGACAGTTCACACCCTTGTTCTTAAAAGATAGTGAGCATGACTTAAATGAGTTCCTTTTGAGTTACAATATGCAAGAAAATGAGTGTGGGGGAAGGAATGCTTGTTCTTAAGTGTTTATGTATGTTTTGAGATTCAAAAAAAAAAAAAAAAAAAAAAAACTGAAAAGAAAAGAAAGAAAGAAAAAAGAGCTTGAAAGAAAAATGAAAGAATGAGTGATTGAAGAAAGGGTCCAAGACACCAATTCTGGCCCTAAATTGTCTAAATTCTCCCTTTTTTTTCAAAAGTTGAGTTTTCATTCAAAAGTGAATTCTAAGTTGATTCAAGTGCTTTGCTGACTATTTCTTTAAGAACCTTTGTTTTCCATATCCCTTCTTTGTTATCCACACGCCCCAAGCCCCATTACAACCCGTGACTTCAATCTTGAGTGTTATGTGTTTCAATTTGTGGAGTTTGAACTTGGTATGAGCATATGGTGTCACTAGTTCTCGCGTCTAAGTAGTAGCATTCCATTCATGAGATCATACCTAAACATGCTTATTAACTCCAGAAATTGCTTCCTTTGAGATACATATATGTGAGTGTTCGTTTTCACATTTACATCAATCTTCTCACATATGACTAGATTAGGGTGTGTAGTTAGAAAATCTGAGTGAAAATTGAGTGCATATCTTGTAAGGAATTGAGCAAATTCTCTAAGGCATGTTACTACATTCAAAACGTGGTTTTAAATGCTTAATTGTGAACTAATATGTGGTGACTATGATTAAGAGTGTACTTAAGTGTGAAGATGACTAAAATCTGTGGAGATAATGAATTTTTAACATGTCATGTGCATTGGAAATCCCTGAGGCAACGTTGGAAGGTTTAGATTGTCTTTTGTTTTGTTTCGTTTTGTTTTGTTTTTCTGTTTTGCTCGAGGACTAGCAAAAGCTAAGTGTGGGGGAATTTGATAGGAGCATATTTTGGCGACTTACTTAGCTTGTTTTCGTGCATTTATGTTGTTAATTCATAGTTGTTTTAGTAGTTTAAGCTATTTTCGTTTGTTTTTAGGTCCTAATGGCAAAGGGAGCAAGAAAGTGCATTTTGAGGCTATTTGAAGCATTTTTGGGCATGGATTGGATAGCTTAACCATGGAGCCAAGAGGATGGACGAAATTGAAGCCTTGTGTGCACTTAGGACATAAAACAAAGGGCCTAACCCAATCAAACAATCCTTTGAGCCATGCAAAACCTCTAGCCCAATCAAACAATCCATCAAAGCCATGCAAAAATCAGCAAACACATGCACCCATCACCAAACACTTACCTTTGCCGTGCACTCCTATCCCTTTGCATTTCCCTTTCATTTCAACCACATGTATTCATCATTGCAGCCACCATTCACTCTTTAATCCACATGCATTCACACATACTTCACACAAACAACATTCACATGCAAACACATGCATTTCCAACACTAAACACAACCATTGCCGTGCCTTCCACATCAATTCCAGCTTGTCTTCATCATTGCAGCCACTTTGCCCTTTTATTTCTGCATTAAACCTATTTCCTTTCCCTAAATTGCAGCCACATTCCACACCTTTCCAACCTAGCTGCACCCTACATACATTAATTAGTCATTCTTTTCATATTGCAGCCACATTCCACACCTTTCCAACCTAGCCACATCCATTTCAGCATTCCACACACTTTGCCGTGCATCCCTTATGCCATTTTCAGCTTTCCTCCTTGCAATTCCACATGCATTTCCAACCTAGCAACACCCCTTTAATCATTCCTAGCTGCAATTCACATGCTCTCCCATCCATTCTCTCCCTATAAAAACCACACACACTTCATTCATTTGT